AAAAAATTAAAATCAAAATTCTACAGTAATAAATCACATACAGACATGTGGAAGGGACAGGAACACCCAGAATGGGTATGTTTATCCAGGGAAAATTTCCTATAAAACATGAGCGATGAACAATCCATCAGGCTTACTTCTTACTCCAAAGGAGCAATGAGTGAACCAAACAAAAGATACAGTGACCAGTCTGCAAAGGAGATGCCAGCTTCTGCATGACTAATTTAGGCAGCCCATTCTACCTAGCGGTGCCTGAGACCACTTTTTAGAGGTATGTCACGGATATTTAGAACTCACGAGATTTGAGTACAAAACAGAGCCAGTCTTTATCTTGAATTTAGTGGAAACAAACTGCCCACTGGCAATTACACAATCCTGTTGATTAAGGCAAGTTTTAACTATGACCTTTCTGGTTTACTAAGGAATCAGAAATCCTTTCCTTTCCTCCAAAGAAATCATGTCTCCGGGCAGTGAGCTGGGCAATCGTAGGGCTCGCTTTATTTGTCATCTCTCAGGGGATTGCTGTTCTTTTATGCCTGATGATCAGCATTCTTGAAAACTTTTTGTTATTTTGTCCATTTTGGGGTTTCAGTCATGGGTAAACCCTGCCCCTATTACTCCGTCTTGGTCAGAAGTGGAAGTCTCCAGAATCATATGTAGATGTCCTGTTTCCCCAACTAGAGTATAAGCTCCTTAGAGTAAAGGATCTCTTATTTTATTTTTCTTATGGTGTCTTTCTAGCTCATTATGTAGTATATACAAACTCACCAAACATTTGTTGAATAAATAAGCATTTATTGGAGATTGTATTGTAGTATTGAGCAAGTATCATGTGCTGTTAGGTTAAAGCAAGAATGTCTTTCCAAGATCTGCCCCCTCATCCTTTGGTTTTGTTGGTTTGAGATTTGTGCACTTGCTGTCAAAAGGAAGTCCCAGAGCCCCTTGTGGAGATTACAGTGGCCTAGTTGCCTTAAAGCTTTTCTGGAACAAGGTAACTTATAAACATACACATAGTAAAATGAGCTAGGGCCTTTCACCTCTGTAGAAATGAAATGACTAATGACATCTCTGTAGTTTTTATATACTCAACAAGGATGAGATGACTAACGTAATTCTTAACATTGTGATTGCTGTAACTTGCTATCAGGGCAGAAGAGATGAGGACTAGTGAAGAAAGGTCCTGGCAGTAAAATTAACATGGTTCACGATGTCTTACTGATTTTGGAACAATAACAAGGGTCTTAGCAAGATACTCTTACCCCCTCCTCCTCTTGGCACAAACACAGGTGTGGATAAACGCCATATATTTAAGTTACTATTATATGAATTCTTATCTTGATTTCTTGTGTTTCCTTAGATGCCATTTTGTAGTTGCAGAAACATTACTGAACTGTTTCAACATTCTTAGCAACCAAGAGTCATAGCCCTGTTTTTGTTTTGTTTCATTTGGGAGTGGGGAGCATGTCATTTCATACTTGTCTGAGAGATTTTTTCTGATCTCATCATTGCTTATTTGCATGTTTTGCTACAATGTAAAGAACTGAAATTTTAGCTTTTAAAAAAATCCAGTTTGGGGCTTTGCTTTGTTAAATAAGGAAATTAAAATTATTTGGATAGAGTGCTGTCTACTGAAGAATAAAAGTGAATAATCTTTTTTTAGACATGTTATTTCAAATAAATACAAATATTGAAAGTTATAAGTCAGGGCTTTGGGGCCATATTTCAAGGAGAGGAAAAGGAAAATTAGATCAATACAGGATTACTCATCCTAATCTTTTCAGAGCTATAATTATACAGATTAGCACTTTATCAACCTGAGTAGGCAAGAATCAGAATCATGCAGGGAGCTTTTGCAAAAATATTCATGTCTAGTCAATCTACATTTCCTGAGTTTAAGAACCACTGATACAGATACGTGTTCAGTCCTCCTGGATTGTTTGTTTTGGAAAACACTCTGTTTTATGTCTCTCTTACATAGACATGCAAGAAATTCCAGAGGAATTAAGAATAAAGAATTAACAGGTGTCTGTTATGTTTATCGTATACGAGTTCCTTGTGTATCTAAATCATTTTAGCAGAATGAGACTGAAACTTCTATAAAGAATAATCTTTGATTTGAAAAAACAGATTAGAAGAAAGACGATCATAATAAAATGGAGTACCAACAAGTTTGTTAACAGATGGTTTTGGATAAAAGCAGTATCAAAATCACGCATTTCCCTACCCGCTGCAAACAACCACGCACACACCCTACATAATGCCTCTACATCTAATAAAAGCCTAACATTTCACTCATCCTGCAAGACACTGAAGGCAGTAATCACATTAACCATTATAATGGAGATTTATTTATCAGCATTTCATAGTAATTAAGATTTTTAATTTAAATCTAATTGATATGAGACTGATTCAAATTAACACACGTGTTTAGAAAGGTGTTTTCTGTTAATATGGAACCGATCCAACAGTTTGCTAATTATGTATTTCTCAGAAAACAGCTGATTTTTTAATTGACATATAGTCAATTTACAGTGTTGCATTAATTTCTAGTGTACAGCATAGTGATTCAGTTATACATATATATATGCATATTCTTTTTAAGATTCTTTTCCATTATAGGTTATTACAAGATAATAAATATAGTTCTCTGTGCTATACATAGGACCTTCTTATTTTGTGTTGCTTTGTTATTCCTAATGGGATTCATTTTGTATTTATAAATACTAGCAAAAGTTTATGTATGGGAAAATAGATATGAATAATACCTCTATGGAATGTGGGTAAGGATTACAAAAATAAACATTTTAGATTTTTGTAACGCTTTTGATTCCATTGGGTCCTAGAATAAGACATGGGCAGCTGTTTGATAGCTTATGTAGTTTCATTTACTGAGTGAATACTGTAATCCATTGGTTCTTGACCTTGGCTGCTATGCATTAGAATCCCTCAAGAGCTTTTGAAAATCCAGATGTCCCTTACAGCACATTAGACCAAGTCAGTCAGAACCACTGGTGACAGGACTCGGACATCAGAATTTATGAAAGTTTCCCCATTGAATCCAGCGTACAGCCAACATTAGCCACTGCCATAGACACTGAAAATGCAGGAAAGATTTTACTCAGGAAAATGTAATTATCCTGAAATGACAATCCAGGCATGCCATCTGAATTGTAA